GTGGACTATATTATGTATGGTACCTGTACTATATTATGTATGGTAGGTTTACTATATTATGTATGGGACATGTACTATATTATGTATGGCACGTGTACTATATTATGTTTGGTACGTGTACTATATTACGTATGGGACGTGTACTATATAAGGTAGGGTTCGTGTACTATATTATGTTTGGTACGTGTACTATATTATTTATGGGACGTGTACTATATAAGGGAGGGTACGTGTACTATATTATGTAAGGGACGTATGTACCGTACGTGTACTATATCATGTATGGTACGTGTACTATATGATGTACCGTACGTGTACTATATCATGTATGGTACGTGTACTACATTATGTATGGGACGTGTACTGTATTATGTATGGGACGTATGTACCGTACGTGTACTATATTATGTATTGTACGTGTAGTTTATTATGTATGGTACGTGTAGTATATTATGTATGGTACGAGTACTATATTATGTTTAGTACGTGTACTATATTATGTATGGTACGTGTACTATATTATGTTTGGTACGTGTACTATATTATGTATGGGACGTGTACTATTTTATGTATGGTACGTGTACTATATTATGTATGGTACGTGTACTATATTATGTATGGTACGTATACTATATTATGTATGGTAGGTTTACTATATTATTTATGGTACGTGTACTATATTATGTATGGTACGTGTAGTATATTATGTATGGTACTTGTAGTATAATATGTATGGTACGTGTAATATATTATGTATGGTACGTATACTATATTATGTATGGGACGTGTACTATATTATGTATGGTACGTGTACTATATTATGTATGGGACGTGTACTTTATTATGTATGGGACGTGTACTATATTATGTATGGTACGTGGCGAGGGCGAGGCACGAGTAAGAATATTGGAATTTTCTGTCATACGAGTGAAATCTACATTGAGCGGGGAAATTATTATTTTCTATATAATAGTTTCGTTGTTGCACTTTAAAATTATTTTTTAAGTGCAACAACGAAACTATTACGGCGGTCATTTAGATTTTAGTTGTACAGTCCTTAAATAAACCTATCAACTGACACATTGTTATAATCCTATACCAGCAACAACCCTTACACCGGAATACTTTTCAATCGGAAACTGTTCTCTTCTTTCTGTCAAACTGTTTAAGTAACCATGGACCAATCCTCTGGCTCCGTCAAACTGTTTAAGTAACCATGGACAAATCCTCTGGCTCCGTTACATTTTTGCCCTCAGAACACTGATGCTGATTCCTGT